TTGAAATTCTAATTTATCCAAAATTAAAACTCCAAAAAAGAAAAACCAACAATTAAGGAGAAATCCAAATGACCTTTCAATTTCATCTCTAAACTATATGGATTCAATACCTTTAAAATAACGGAAAAAAAAAACTATTGAATAAGAAAAGTACCTCAAAATTTGAATCTAGATTGGAGGGGCAGCGACCCTGGAATATTTTTCTAAATAGTTGGGAGTCATAATATTTAAAAAAAAATTAAAACAACATTGTCCGACAATTATTAAAATAATTGAGAAAGTCCACTTTTCGGAGTTGTAATATTTAAAAATAATTAAAAAAATATTACCGTCACTATTTTAGAATGGTCGGGAATATTAATATCTCTCGACTATTTCGAAAATATAGGAAATTGTAATATTTGAAAAAAAAAAACAATAGCACCCAACAATTTATTAAAATATTGTTGTAAAGTCCACTATTCGACTTTTTTCTAAAAATAGTCGGGAGTGGCAATTTAAAAGAAAAAATTAAGAACAAATTTTGTCCGACTATATAATAAAACAGTCGAGAATATAAACCTCTCCCGCCTATTTCAATGAACCGTCGAGAGTGGTAATATATAAAAACAAAATTTTACCCGACTATTAGGCAAATTGTCGGCAAAGTCCCGACTATTATTTTTAGTAGGAAAAAAGATGTCTCACCAGCGTCGAGAATAAAAGCGTCGGAAAAAACTCATAATTCTTGTAGTGTCGGCGATCGATTATGTGAATTTTCGTCATCTGGGTAATAGATCTTGAACGACGGTGCGAGGACAATGAAGGATGATGGCAAAGGCAAAAGGACATGAGGAAGATGATAAATTTTAAGTTTTTTAAAAAGAACATCGAAAAAGATGAGGAAGAAAGCCGTTCGCAAAATAGCGTAATTTGATTTGATTTATTTTAATTTTATTTACCTAGAAGAAAAAATGATTACTATATTAATATTATACTTGAAGTACAACATCTGGAATGGGGGATCGAACTCACAATCTCTTGGTTTGCAATCTATGTCAATTATCGTTGAGCTATGCTCACTTTGCCATAAAATAAGCTTATTTTGTTGGTGTTTGATGTGTCCATAAATCTCACTGGTCTTGAGTTCAATTCACACAAGCAACTAAATATGTTATCATTTATATATTTAAAATTTTTCTTCTTTTTTAATAAATATATCTACTAAGTTTTTATTTTTCATTTTATTGAGAAAAATTATGTCTTGTTTCTATTCTCCTTCAAAAAAAAATTCCTATTAACATTCTTAAAGAATCTAATGAAAAAAAAAACAAAAATTTCGAAACTAAGATTTAACTAAAAAAATTTATCTAAAATTCAAAATTTTATGTTATAAAAAATTTAAAGATTCATGAACCTAACTAGTTCCAATTTAAACTAAAATAAATTTCTAAGTAGTCGATTGAGTTGACTACATTTCATTCCAATTAAAAAAAATCAGGGTATAATTTAAATATGAATATTTTATTTAGAGAATGCTTAGTGAAACTAGAGTTAACTTATATTATTTTATGTTCATCGTCATATTTTAATTTTCATGATGAATTAAATTTATGCAAGGAAATGTGGATACGAAATAAAGATATATTATTTATTTTAAATAGAAAATATAATTAAATTAATTTTTTTATTGTAAAAAGTAATTTTTGTACAAATATAATAATAGAGAGTTAAAAAAATAATTGAAATCCACTAGACTCAAACTCGAGATCGAAGAAGAAGGGCACAATTACGTAGGTAAGCAGACCACTATACCAAATACAATTTTCCACTTATTTCATGGAGTATTTGGGGAAACTATTAGTCATAAATCTATACTCGATACGACCGGAGAATCCCAAAATAATTAATATCATCCATAAAACTACAGTTTTTCCAACTCAAATGAAATGCGGTCAAAATCATTTGTGACACATTTTGTATGTCATAGATTTTCAAGATGGTCTAGGTAACTGCCACGGAATACTTTAAATTTTTTTATTCTTCTTGACAATTATAAAATGTCATAAAACATAGAAATTTTCGTAGACCACCGTTTTTTCCTGTCAAAATCGCGCATCCATCATTTCGTGACAGTTTTCACTGTCATTGAAAATTCGATTTTCGTGACAGTTTTTAACTGTCATAAAACTTACAAAATCCGAAAATTAACGTTTTTTCCCGCAAAAAATGTGCCCCCATCATTTTTGACAATTTTTTTTCCTCCAAATTTTTTTACTATTCACAACTGTCATGGAAGACCACTTTTTTACTAGTGAAACTACACTTCAAATATTTTGTCACCTAAATGAACTGCACACCAAATGTTTTATCACATAATGAGTTTACTTAGTCTATGTGGAGATGAACTTGAAACTGTTTCCTTATATTATTTGGGGTAGTGTGTGCAATTCTCCCCTCCCGCTCCAGAAATCCTGCCCTCATCTTTTTCGTGGCCGTATGTTTTGAGGCATCTTTTGCTATGTGTCCTGCATGAAAATGGTCTCCACTCTCCTCGTGTGATTCCTTTACTACCACAATAGCTCGACTCTCGAAGACCCCCCTCTTATCCTATCTGTAACATGATGCTTCTGTATCTTTGTTCTCATATCAGCATGAGTCAAGGTTAGGAGTACATATTTCCTTATTGTACTAGTTTTCGCTTTCATTTTGATTTTGATTCCTTTTTAGAACCTCATTCTTTTTCTCTTTTTACTGTTGGATCTTTCAATGCATCGTTAGAGCAAGCTAACTCCCCATTCATTAACAGAATCATGAAAGAAAAAATAAACCTCGAAAGTTTAAATTGCCAACAATTAGATAATATGACAATTCCAGAGACCTAACTGATCATCTAGATGCAACGCAAGAATGGATGGACATGTATGGAGTTTGCAAAGCAATCAGATATTGTAGAGTGTTTTCTTAGCTCGATTATGGTACCAACAATTGAAGAAGAAATCTATCTTCTCCTTCAAGATATTATCCAGAAAGCCTCTCCGACACTATGTCACCAGGTTTAATAGTAAGAAGCTACTAGTTGAAGGGTATTACTGACGAGTTGTCATCTTCATAACTGGTTTAAACGACGAAGAATTCCTGTGGTCAATGGGAAATAGTGCCCGACAACTTTTTCAGAAGCATTAGCTAGATCACAAAAATATATAAGTGTAGGACAGTTGCTCCAATGTTTAAGGCAAGATCCCTATGACAAACGTGGTTGATCCGAACAAGATAGGGAAGGAGATCACATTAGGGAGACATTATCCGAAGCCAATCGGAGGAAGATAGAAATTCTCAAAAAATAAAAAATAAAAAAGGCAGACCAGGCATAGAAGCATTAGTTGACCTGCATGGCAAAACTCAACGAGACCCTACCTTGCTCATTGGATGTTGAGCATTATTATCGTTCTTTTTATTTTATTTAGGCAAACGTTCTTTCATTTTTATTAGACGGATGTTATTTCAATTCTTTAGCAAATAAGTTTAAATAATCCAAAAGTGCCCTTCAACAGCCCTTTTGACACCTCAAAAATCTCCACCAAGTAGGGGCCAGAAATGAGAGGAGGGATCAAGTTGATCCAGTAAACCTAAGAAAGACTTACACTAGTAGAAATTCGAGTTCTCGTGACATTTTGTAAATGTCAAGAAATTCTTTCGTGATGTTTTTAACACCGCTACCTATGCCCCCATCACAAAAGGTATTGGTGACGTTTTTAAAACGTCACGAAAAGTAGCATTCATGACGGTTCAAAAACGTCATGCAAAATATCGTTTTTTGTGACGCTTTTTAAACGTTAAGAAAAATAATTTCATGATGCTTTTAGATCGTAACGAATTCTTTTTTTCGTGACGTTTTTAAAACGTCACAGTAAATGAGTTACCATGACGGAATTAGAATTTGTGACGGTTAAATGAAAAATAATTTCATGACGCTTTTAGACCGTAACAAATTCTTTTTTTCGTGACGTTTTTAAAATGTCACAGTAAATGAGTTACCATGACGGAATTAGAATTTGTGACGGTTGACCAACGTCACGAACACAGAATTCGTTGCGAGAAAAGGTCACGTGACAGGATTTCGTGACCATTTTTCAACGTCACAAAAAATGATTCCATGACGTCTAAAAAACCGTTCGGCTTTGTGAAGTTTTAAAAACGTCATGAAAAATAGAATCAGTGACATTTTTGAAACGTCACGAAAAATTATATTTTGTGACAGTCAAAAAATGTCATAGAAAATTGATTTGATTTTGCTAGTATAAGTCACAGAAGACAAATTTCATATAATTAAATTGTCGATCGACATCACAAAGACAATAATTTATATAACAAAGTTGAAATCATATAGGAACAAAGTATTCCCCAATTTGTTAGTACAATATATTAAACATATGTACATAACATGTTCAAATTGCTAAAGTTCAAAGTACATAATTAAACATGTCTCACACACCAAACCCAACAAAGAAACACATCCATCAATTAGTTGCATTCCTAATTGTCTACTTCTTTGAGTTTGTGAAAGACCTAATGTAGAAAGCAATACCCAAGTTAGATAAATGAATAACTACGCACATCAATCCTCTTCTAACATAATTTCATTAGCAATATTCACAAACGTACAAGTTTCATAAATTAATCTCTTTCATCAAGTAACAACAATTTGCTTCACTAAAAAGATAAAATGAACAAAATAAGCAAAATGTCAACTAGAGCTAGCTCACTAATATAGCCAACACATATTGGAATGTATAAATGATTCAGAATTTTACATATTAAAAGCTAATTAATTAGATAAAGTAATGAAAATTGTACTTACTACCTACCTTTGATTGCTCATCTGCAACTGAGGAAACATATTAACGGATTTTGTTCTGGAGCATCACATATGAAAGGCTCTAACACTTGTAGTGTTACAATCCATGCAAATATTGTGCTTTCTAAAATAGGACATTGAAAAAAGGGTAAAATCCCTAAGTTATGAATAGAGGAACAATGAGAGTTTAGAATTGTATCTAAAATACTACAAACTATATTCTTCAACCAGTAAATGCAATGGTTATAAATTCTAACATCCGCTTCTTGAACTAAATAAAAAGGTAAAATTTGAACTTATCAAAACTCTTCCAAAGAAAGGTAAAATTTGCAAACTCAATGTAAGCTACAATCATGTTGAACCAACCATCCCCACTCCCCCAACCAACTGTCACAATCATAATGCAAATTCTAAATCATAAGTAAAATTATCTCAATCATTTCATCACATAAGTTGAAAGTAAAACAAAATTTTGAAAACTTTAAAACAAACTGTGTTGGATAAAGGTCAAGAATCTTATTTAAGTGGGTAGATTGGAGGAATCCAACATGTTGGTCAAGATGATTACAAAAAGACTCCAATTACCAGCCATAACAATCGAAATAATGGTTTCACTAAGTAACACCGAGAATAATGATAGTGTTGAAAAATAAAGATTCCAACCTACTCCTATGAGAAGGTAAGATATGATGTCATTAGTAATAGATTCTTGAGGTATCACATAAGGAATTAAATTTGTTGGTATGCTAACACTTACAAATCAGAAGCAAGAGCATCACCTTCGGACTGTCAATTCTGATGATGGCAGGCTTGAATCTTTTCGACTCTAAGCACAAAAAAGGGAGGGTTGAAAATTCATATTAAGCCACTTCTCCATTGAAAATTTCAAATATATATTTCTATGTCTCTATTTTTCTCTGTGCGCACATGGTATAAGCTTTATGATCATAATGAGATAAATAAAAGAATATGGCAACATACCATTCAAAGATATCTAAAGGCCAAGCTTACCTCTAACACTTCGAATCTTCTCAATGAATTGCTCCCCAACAATACCAATGCTAGGAATGCTTAAAGGACTCTTTACATGGGTAATGCTTCCTCCTGCTCCGATCACAGCTATTTAGTCTCCACCTCCAGATAAACCAATAATCCATTGCCTAACTTGGTGGGTTTTGTCGGAGAGTGGATTGGGATTGAGAGCTGCGAGAAGAGGAAATGATATGGA